AGGGGCTGTGTCTCAAGGGGTCATCTTCTCTGCTATTGGTGGACCAGTCAGACAGGAGAGCTCTAGGCCTACTCTGCCTGCAGACATCAACGATCTTGCCCCTCACACAGTCAGATGGCTTCCTTCAGTGCGCTGAGGTGTTTAACAACTCTGAAGACACTACCAGCCATGTCTTCCTTCTCTTTTCACGTAGACGCTCCGACAGACAGTGCTTTCAGTTTGCTGCATGCATGGACACAGAACTGCGGTACAGCACACAGTAACGATGAAATGTGTGCTGTTATCACATTCTTCCTCTGTATGTACACATAAACAACAAGGCAGGGAAATATAAAAGGAATTTATTTTATTGTTTGGGTACATTATTGTTCAGTGTACATGCTCACATCTGAACCAAACTTTGCGTGCTTGATAACTCTCTGACCCCCAGACATCTACACGTCAATACCGATTTATATTCATAGCGGCAAGTGCTATGTAGCTCCACATAGGGGACACAGGAAGTGACATATAGCACCTTCATGCGGCGACATAACCGCGTAGGAAATTCACAGCCGCACCGGCAGAGCTCCAGAATATGCAACTCGGCCGGCTCACACGCGGACGCGCTTACAAGTGCGAGGGCCCGCCCAACGCTGCTTGCAGCTTTAATTTTTTTTTTTTTTTTTTTAGGGCCCGAGCACGACCGTGTGAGGTCCCTATTGAATTTGCTCGGATTATTATTATTTTTTTCTTTTTTCTGCAAAGTAGGCTCAACTGACATGGCCTAAACATTCTCGAAAACTCACCAAAATTTGCAAACATGTCAGAACCGGTGAAAAATTTCGTATTCTACAAGTTTCGCACATGGGCGTTGCAAAATGACTCGCTAGCGCCACCTAGAAAATTGGAAAAAATTAGCCCCTCGTTCACGTTCAACCTACATGTACGAAATTTTCTGGGGACATGTATCATATCAAGACGCACAAAAAAGCCTCAAGAACCCATAGCCTAAAGTCAACAGGAAGTCGGCCATTTTGAATTTTACGGCCATTTTTGGATGATTTACACACTTCGTACTTTAACGAACTCCTCCTAGGGATTTAGTCGGATCGATGTCAAATTTCTGCTGTGCCTTCTAAAGGCATTGACGATGAAAAGTTGTGCTATTTGCGCGTTTTCGTCAATGGGCGTGTCCGTGGCGTCGATGATTCGCCATGAAACAGGAAGTTGTTGTAACTTCAGTGTACATGCTCACATCTGGACCAAACTGTACATGTAGGATGAGAGTCCCGCCCTGAACACATGTACATGCCGACATTCACCCACAGTCATAGCGCCACCTGCTGGCAACAGGAAGTGACTTTTAACGAAGCAGCCCCCGCCGCACGTTTCACCTACGTGCACGAATTTTCTGTGGTACGTGTATCTTGTCCAGACGCACAAAAAAGTCTCTTGGAGCCATAGCCTAAACCCAACAGGAAGTCGGCCATTTTGAATTTTACGTCAAATTTTGGATGATTTACACACTTCGTACTTTAACGAACTCCTCCTAGGGATTTAGTCAGACCGACCTCAAATTTGTGCTGTGCCTTCTAAAGGCATTGAAGATGAAAAGTTGTGCTATTTGCGAGTTTTCGTCAATGGGTGTGTCCGTGGCGTGGCGTCAGAGATCAAGTCTTCGCCATGACACAGGAAGTTGTTGTAACTTCAGTGTACATGCTCACATCTGAACCAAACTTTACGTGCTTGATAACTCTCCCACCCCACTATGGAGGACCGATCCTGACACAGTCAGAAATAAATACAGAAATAAATAAATGCTCAATAAATAAATAAGCATCCAATTAAATACACAAAAAAATAAAGTAAATAAATAAATGTAGGTAGTAATTAAATTATACAAGGAGACATAAATGTATATATTTTAATTAGTGCCTTTACTATTCACCTTTGTTATAATTACCTTATTTGTTTATTCAACTTTATTTATTACTAATTTTTTTAGTGTATTTATTTATGTGTGTGTTTTAATATTTTTGTCTGTTTTATTCTTCCTTTGTATTTATTTACCTTATTTATTTTCACCCATGGTATTTATTTCTGCCTGTCTTTTTTAAATTTTTGTATGCATTTCTGCCTCATTATGCAAATGAGGAGGGGCTGTGTCTCAAGGGGTCATCTTCTCTGCTATTGGTGGACCAGTCAGACAGGAGAGCTCCTACTCTGCCTGCAGACATCAACGATCTTGCCCCTCACACAGTCAGATGGCTTCCTTCAGTGCGCTGAGGTGTTTAACAACTCTGAAGACAATACTACCAGCAATGTCTTCCTTCTCTTTTCACGTAGACGCTCCGACAGACAGTGCTTTCAGTTTGCTGCATGCATGGACACAGAACTGCGGTATAGGGAGAAGCACACGGTCAGCTGGCTGCAGCTAAATCTGGAGTGCACTCGTATTCAATTCTGTACGGTAAATTCAGTTTTAACGGAGCAGAGCGAGCTGACAGGCAGAGTTAGAGACTTTTTCTGTCCGTTTCTCTCTTTACAAAGACGCATGTTGCAGTCAGAGTCTTCTCTGAAGAGGGCAATGAAGTCTCAGTAGTACCCGATGCGAGCACCACATACAACACAATTTATCAAATTACACAACGGATATACAGTATGAAAATAAGACCGATTGGATTATACTCACAGGAAGTATAAAACCTGTTACATGCGTAACACAGTAATGTCAGGGAAATTACTTTACTTAGATTTCAGGACTGCAGTTGTACATTTGAAATACCTTCCTACCTTTCTGATAGGAAGCCTTCTTGAGGTGGTATAAAACATTTCTTCTTATATTCTGATTTGAGTTGTGGACAACTATGACCACATGAATTTAAAAAATTAAACATTTCACTGCCCAAGTCAGCTATAACACAAGTCTTGTTCATTAGACTACATGCTGTACAGTATTTGTGGACAGATTTTGTCCCAGGATTTATTATGCATTTCTTCTTCTTCGTTGCATGGTTTAGAATAATAAGGTGAGAAATGGGTCTATTCTGAGTTCATCCTGCACTGCAGCAGCTAAAAAGTCCATTTAATCCCAAAAACGCTTTTCTTTTAGGCAGGCTGGAGCAGAAACACAGTAACGATGAAATGTGTGCTGTTCTCACATTCTTCCTCTGTATGTACACATAAACAACAAGGCAGGGAAATATAAAAGGAATTTATTTTATTGTTTGGGTACATTATTGTTCAGTGTACATGGTCACATCTGAAACAAACTTTACGTGCTTGATAACTCTCCCACCCCGCAGACATCTACACGCCAATACCGATTATATTCATAGCGGCAAGTGCTATGTAGCTCCACATAGGGGACACAGGAAGTGACATATAGCACCTTCATGCGGCGTCGGAACCGCGTAACAAATTCACAGCCTCACCGGCTGAGCTCCAGAGTATGCAACTCGGCCGGTTCACGCGCGGACGCGCTACAAGTGCGAGGGCCCGCCCAACGCTGCTTGCAGCTTTAATTATTATTATTATTTTTTAATCCTGTTTGTATTTTCTATTTCAACAAAATTATATTTTAATGTGTATTTTTTCAATTTCCCTATGTTGCTTTTATGTTTAATGTAAAGCACTTTGAATTGCCTTGTTGTTGAAATGTGCTATACAAATAAACTTGTCTTGTCTTAAAGTTCTGTTGTTGGCCTCTAAAGAATAAAACTGTTTGCATTAGGGTCTATACTGTATGTGAGCCGAGATTAACGTTGTCACATTTTTTGCGCGGTGGCTTCTGGGACAAACTATATTTGGAAGTTCAACTTCCGTCAGGTCTGCGTGCTGCAGCTGGATATTGTAGGTGCCAGATCCGTACCGCCAGCAAGGGCCGTTTTTCACATGTGCAAAATCTGTTCTGTCAGTAAAGGGTTACCGCAAATCTGCCTATTCAAAATGATCCAACTAAATCTTTCATATCGAGATAATGTTTTTTAATCACTGGAGATTTAACTGTTAACTATGATGTAATATGACTATACTTTAGATATTAAAAACGTAAAAAAATGTGAGCAAAACAAAGGAGGCTAACCCTAGCTGCTAGCACATCAGCTGTAGGGTTAGCCGGTCGACATGCATACAATCGCTGACTTAGGTTTAGACACACACCCTGATGGTTAGGGTTAGGATAAGATCCTCTGGGTTCGTCTGAATTAGACGCCCTGTCTAGACTGGACACCGAAGAGTACCTTTTGCATCAAATAATGTTAATAAAGTGTAAGTATTTGATGCCCTGAGATGAGAACAGATAAACACATGAATAATTATGAACAGACACATGGCCAACAGGGGATCAATTAAAACGAAAGGCAGATTAACTTTTACATGCCTTCACATGACGGATTGGTAATGTTACTGGTATTTTTAACAGTGGAACCTGGCAAAGTGCCACTGATTGATTAGAAATATCAGAGCAAAACTGACATGAGCAGGTATTCCACTCAAAGTGGAATTCCATCTGGGTCAACAGCTGTCAAATATGCAGTTTGTGTCTTGCACTGGTATGTCAGAGTTATTTATTATAGCACTTTCCACATGCGCCTTGGGTCACATATATTACTGATTCATACTTACTGTGTACTCATCAAAATTTGAATTGACTGAATCCTAGAGTTTCAGTTCACTGTCCTCATTCCAGCACAGTAGCATCTTCACTAAGTAGCAAGAACACGGGGGAATGCCAGACTTTACTAAATATGGATGTGGTATGGACATGTAAGCTTCTTTAATAGTGGAACAACCATGATCAAGGGTCACCTTACACGTTAATAATACTTTGTATGTATCTTTGCTAATGTAGTTTTATCTGAACAGTAAAAAACAGAGAGTATCTAAATGTTGAATTATTGAACAGTATTGACACCAGTGATGACATCTAATATTTCAGAAAAATCATATTAATAACTCAAGTTTGGGGTTTAAACTTGAGGCGTTAGGTTTGTGTTATCACGCAGGTCCAAACATTGTGGAGAGCAAAACATTTTATTACTAACACTGGAATAGTTCAATTTGTATATTATTATACAGAAACTAACTGCTTTACAAAAACAAAATGATACAATATCACATATATGTACAGTGTAGTAAATATACCATCTCAAATTGTACACAAAGTATTTACAATTGTCACACATACTGCATTAAAAACAAAACTCAAGACTATTACTCTACACACAGATTTTGCATAACATCAAATAAAACATGCCACATTTGATGTTTTTCATCTTTACAAATCCATGACTATTTTTAAATTAGTGCAAGTCAACCACTTGTTTAAGAGGTTATGGATACATAATCCTCATTATTTTCATTCACACAGAATTCAGACTAAAATCTGGAAACAATGGCAATCTGCTAACACGGTGTTCAAATAAAATCTTGCCTTGAGATTTTTCCTGGTTGTTTTGTTAAAGCTACACTCGCTGATTCTGTGATATAGGGTTTGTGGACGCTTTTTTAAGAAAATCAGGGAGAGTAGCTTTAAGTTAGTTAACAGACAGTGAAAAGTGGTGAGTAGAGACGATGAACTAAGTTATATGATTAGACATTTCTGTGGAATCTGACACTGAAATCTGAATAAACGTGTACCTTTACAGCCTCAACAGCCCTGATTTTAGATCCTAAAATCCTTCCAACATGGACCTTCAGAGCCACTCTGTACCAACCCACCACCGCACCAAACATCCTCTGTGTTAGAAAATGTGACTTTAACCACTTAAGTTGATGAAAACCCATGGTTGAACTAGAGTTTGGTCTATTTAAGAAGGGCAGATGTTTCATTAAATACCACATCAGCCAGTCAGTTTGTGGAAGTAGGCAGGGTTTGAACTTCTCTCCACTCTCACTTTCATGTGCCCAACTGTGTGCCACGCCACAAGTGCTTTCAAGGAGAGAAGTTTACACCGTTATCCCCATTTATATCATTCATCAACTCTCTATGATGGGCAGAATTTTTGTTCAAGCTTTGACCGTGACCATTAGGAACAAGTATTAAGACTTTTGCCTTCAGATGTATTCAGATCATACCTTCTATGAAGTAATTCGTTGGAAGCATACTAACTCAGGTAGCAATCATATGACTTTCTGAAGCCCAAAACAATGCTCTGATTTTCAGCAGTGGAAAAATAATTTCTTGGTTTGGTCCTAGTACTGACAACACGTCAGTGATGGAGGGCAACAAGAAAAGTGAATTCAGTTTTTAATCATTCCTTTTAGTATTAAACTTTCCTTTGTGTCATTCTTTGAGGCAGAATTACAAAATACTCTTTCTAAGGCTGTCTAATGAAAATGTCCCTTTCCATGGAATTTATCTGATGATCATGTGTTTACTGAATGAGCTGCATGGACAGAAAAAAATAACAAATATACTCAGACAATACAATACAAGAAAGAAATCAGTAGTGAACTGATTCACAAATGTATCCATAAGGTAACATGAACACTTATGTTAAGAAACTGTCACTGAGCAGCACATGTGGAGATAGTGCTCAGACAAAAATAAAGTCAGAGTTTTACAACAATACTAAACTCTTGCCATGCATAGATGTTAAGGCAGGATAGAAGCGTTTTGAAGAACCAACCCTGCTGTGGACGGAGGCTGCGAGCGGAGCACTGATCAGCACAGTCCCACTCTACACCTGCTCAACCAAACAGAATGTGTACACAGATGGTTTAAACCCATTTCCACAGCAAACCATAGTTTAGATCACTTTGTGTGTCTTTCTACCCTTCAAGCAGCCACTGGTTCCCATTCATATCAGTTCAAATCAACCTGTAGGTAGTGGTATTGTCACAGGATTACAAACCTTTTGGTTATGTGGTAATGCGGAAAAACAAAAAGCTGAATTTGTGAGGCCAATACCTTGAGAGAAAATCCTTGAGGATTATCCAAATCTGTCCAAAATATGTTTTCGAAAGTAGAGCAGATCTGCTGCACCCACATGCGCTCTGAGGGTACAGAGAGCTGCTTTAAAACCAACGCTCGCCTCTGCAGCAATAATAACCTGCATGTTATTACCAAAGCTCTTAAAGGAAAAGTCCACCATTCTACTGAGGAACCTCATCAACTTGTGTCAGATGGATCCTGGTGCAGAGTGGGAGCTCAGGAATCAGTGTTTGAGTCTGAAGGACTGAAACCAAACCCAGATGTTAACGGTTTATGTTTCCATCTTCCTTCTTCTGTGCTGCATTGGAATTAGAAAATACGCCAAACAATAGTATGGACCTCACTTCTTTCTGCCTAGCGACTGAACTGTGTCTGTAGCTACAAATATAGTAAAAGGTCAAGTACTGTTTGATCAGGTCAGTCTTGTTAACATCTTTTATCATTTATTTTCTATTCAGAAAAGGCAAAGATTATAAATCTGTAAAAATTGTCTGACTCAGACAATATGAAAGATTGATGTTTTTGAGAAGTTTGGCTTAATTTTAAGTGTGAACAGCTTATTGGTTACTTTCCTAGCTGTTTCTAGAGCTTTTAACCACATCTTACAGTGTCCCTGCTGTGACCACAACCAAAACCTCAAACCCCAGCACTGACTAGGAAGGAGTCCAATTCACTTTTGTTGTTAAATAATAAATTTTTTGTTGCAGAATGTGTCTTTACTGTGCAACAAAGGTTGTAGAAACAGTATGTTTAGGTATTACGACAGTGTCAAGGTGTCTTTTAGGGGAGATTTTTTCCGTTTAAGAGCCCACAGGACAAACCTCTGATGGTTATGGGTCCAGCTAAGACTGTTGAGGTGAAACAAATGGAGGGTGTGTGTGTGTGTGTGATGGGATCAACCATCACACTGTCGACAGCCTCTTTTCAATTCAAAAGGTAACTGGAGTTGGCATCATATTGCAGCGAGCTGACATGGCGATGTGTCCTCCCTATCCACGTTACATATAAAATCCATTGTTGACAAAGGAGTTTGAGAGTTGAGGATTATTGCCTATTACACAATTTCCCTTGTCACTGTGTAAACAAATTAAAATACTAGGCCACTGAAAATACAGTTCATTCTAAAAAGAACTAACACAAAAAAGCTAAACAAAAGCGTTACGTGTTTCCCCTAGTGTTCTGGAGTCTTCATGTTAATACACTGAAAGTGTTTGAAAAGAAGATTTGTGTAGCACTATGTAGCTGTACAGGATAAATACTTCAGGCAACAGGGTATGTGGATGATTGTATATTTGACGATCATTGGAGGCCGGTCTTGAGGCAGCTCGTGTGAACTCGTGGTGATATGGACGGCTCGCCTCCATAATTAGTACCTGTTCTTTGTCCCCAGCAAGGTTTGACTTTTACTTTACAAATTGTACACATTGAAAAACCCTGACAAAGGCACACCATGGAGAAAACGTTAACATCTAAATTAGCACTAAGAACTAGTTCTACATATTCTGTGTTCTATGTAAAATATATACAGGACTGGGAGAGGGGCGCTGAGATGTCGAGCAGGTCCAGAGTGAAGGTCCCGTATCACAGATGCCTCCGTCATTTGGTCATCTGGCTGACACAGGAGTAATTAGTCATAAGGAAGGCCAAGAGATGGGTTACAGATCAAACTACATTTTGTGGCTCCTCCCTGTGTAAACTGTCTGTCCAAACTGGATTCCCGTCAGCCTCAGAGGGATTAAAAAAAAAAAAAAAAAATTAGTTTCACTCGTATGACCACTGTCACTGCAGAAGACACGCGGCTCTTGAACATCTGTGAAGAAGAGCTTAAACATCGACTCCAGAGAAGAACAGCGAGGAGGCAACAGAAGCTTCTCCTCCTCCGCGAGCCATCTCAAAGGTTGTCCATACCAAGATTCCTTCTCAGAGCAAAACAGCAAATCACTTCCACTGCCAGAACAGCAACCATGAAGAAGGAGAAGGAAATAAAAAGAGCAAGTGGAGTGCAGCATGAGGCCCCGCAGGCTGGGGGGTGGGAGGGGGCGGAGGGGTGAGGGGACTGGGTGTTCTCTGGCTGATCAGACGATCTTCTTAATGCTGGGTCTTTTTGAAGCTACCGGCGCTGCGCTGCTTCTGGACCTGACTGGCTGAACCGTGGCGAGTACGACCCATGCTGGACAGAGCAGAACTGGGGGAGAGCTGGACGTTCTCCTTATCCACACCTGGAGGACCACAGGGAAGACAGATGAACACCATTTTAACATCAGCGTCAACAACAGTTTACTAACTCAAACCTTTCCTTGACTTTTCAATAAATCAGTGGTTCCCAACAGGGAACATGACTTTTTATCTGTTTTGATATCAGCATTATATATTGGCAGCCCTGCGCTCTAAATATCTATGTCTACCATTAAAAAACCTGTATTAGTCGAGCACTAGTTGACTGTAGCAGTTCTTTCAAGCAGCCCACTGCAGAGGTGGGGAAGAAGACAAAGGACTGTAATTTTCTAATGTTAAACTCAGATAAAACTGAAGTTATTGTTCTGGGGCCCAAGCCCCTCCGTGACGCATTATCCAAAGATCTACTTTCCCTGGATGGCATCGCCCTGGCCTACAGCACCACTGTGAGGAATCTATGTCTTTTTTCTTCCTCACTCACAGTGAAGAACTTCCACTCTGACCACATGTTTAAGTGAGAGTGTGGCTGCGACAATAGTTGCTTACTGCGTGTGACGCAACGTGCACATGGCTTAAACCATCATGCAGCACAGCATGCATGTAAATCTGAAGTCTTTCCATTATTAGAATGTAAAGATGCCAACATAGCTTTTAAAAGGTTATTTCAGCAAACTTTCCCAAGTAAAGTCTATCATCACCATGACTGCTCATGAATGGAAAACACCACAGTGGCCTCCTCCACAGGTTCGGTGGTAATTGGTGAGAAACACTCACTAGAAGTCCATCAATATATCACCTTTCTAGTAATTACACTACAGGGGAGTGTCATGTTCAAGTGTCTTTCCTTCAGTCACTCACTAGAAAATCTTAAAGATTGAACTGACTTATATTATTGTCTACTGATGTCAAATAAGACATCACCTTCAGCACCAATTTCAAGTACTGAATTGTTCTCCTGCATCTGAATTTATAAACAACCTGGGGTGATGTAGCATAAGCAGGTGACTTGCTTCCTTTCTGCATTTACAGCAGGTACAATGTTCTGTGCTGGGACTCAAAGAAACAGAACACCACCAGTCTGGAAATGGATTTAATCAGTTGCAGACTGGGGTTTGACAATGACTAAGTTTAGAGGACTAGAGTTCATGCAGAGACTGTCTGTCTGTCTGTCTGACCTGGTGAGTGCTGCGAGGTGGCCAGTGAGGTCATGGAGTTGGACAGGTTGAGGTTGGCAGTGATGCTGAGCTGGCTCTGGCTGGTGGGGGGGTAGGGTGAGGTGGGCGTCCTCAGCTGCTCCTCCCCTCGCTCCTCATCAGCTGCAGGCAGGTAGCTGTCAATCAACGCTTCCAGAAACTTGACGATCAGCTCAGCATAGTCTGGTATCTGTGTTTGCTGCAGGGTTAGCAGTGTGTGTGTGTGGGAACAGGACAGACAAGATGAAACATGTCAACAGGTTAATAAAATATGTCCTCAGTCATTGTAACCTAATGATTTATTTAAAGTCACTGTAACACAACATACTTTTAGAATCATGGCTGCTCTATGATCTGTATCGATGCCCCCCCACGGTTTGGTACGCAGGTGAACTCCGGCCAAGGGTATTATAGTTTTGGATTTTGCATTAGTTTTTATTTTTATTTAGTTCTGACTTTTTGTTTTTAATCTCAGTATAGTTTTAATTTGTTTTTAACGTGGGTTTGCTAGTTTAGTTTTTATTTTTTGAAAATGCTTAGTTTAATTTATTTTTGAAAATGCTTAGTTTTAATTTAGTGTTTATTTTTGAAAATGCTTAGTTTTAATTTATTTTTTGAAAATGCTTAGTTTTAATTTATTTTTTGAAAATGCTTAGTTTTAATTTATTTTTTGAAAATGCTTAGTTTTAGTTTAGTTTTTATTTTTTGAAAATGCTTAGTTTTAGTTTTAATTTTTTGAAAATGCTTAGTTTTAGTTTAGTTTTTTTTAGTTTAAGTGTTAGTTTTAGTCTTTGTCGCTGCACGATGCCAAGCTCAGTTCAGGTTGGTTCAGTCTTGTTTATTTTAATTATTTATTTATTTTTTTACAAGTACAATCATTAGAAATAATGCAGATTTGTGAAAAGGGACACCCCTTTTAAGATGTATCTGAAGCTTGTACATAGGGGCCCAAACACTAAGCAAATACATATTTTTGAAGTACTAACACATTGTCTAAATAAATACTATAAATAAATGAAGCACATGAATGCAATCTATAGTATAATTTCTAACCTACATACAGAAAACCCTGAGAGCAAACTACCCTAATCTTACTACCATCAGTCTCCTCTGGTTAAACAGGTGAAATACAATAAATGGAGGTGAAATACAATTGATGGACAGCTAAGAAACTTGAAGATAATGTAGCCCCCCCCCCCTTGGAGCCACAAACAACAGGTCCCTAGCACCCTCAAGGCAAGTATGACTGGAAAGCAGTTATATTAAAATCCAAACCTTTATTGATCAAAAACTAGGTATTAACAACGTGAAGCACAAAGAGACAGGTTGGCTGAGATATCAATAAGCCCATAAAACACACACTAGCTGACATGCAGTAAATATAATGACCAGCACACGTTAACCCAGAGCACGTGGAGCTCACAGTCAGTGGGCAAGTTTATTCCACACACAGGATGTTAAGCCAGACCATCAGAACAGAACAAAACAAGGAAAAGAAAACCACCAGACAGCAACTCACTACCTGCAACCCAAACAAAACAAAACACAGCTCCATACAGTTGTTGCATTCATATTATTTTGTACACATGAATGTAAAAGATAATGGAAAACATGTTCAAATCCCACCAACTACCAGCCGATCCCTACCTGGGTCTCCCAGACTAAGTTAGCCTCCCCCCAGTGTATCCTCCTAACAGCAGTCGCCACCTGCTACGTAGTGGCCAGACGCCGCCCTGACCCCGGCCTCTCTTGACGGACACGCAGCGTGCCAGCTCTTCATGCGGAGGACAAAATCATAACACACCCGCGGCTCACCAACAGGTGCTGTCCTGTCTCCGTAATGTCTGTTTGTGTGGTGTTTGTGCCCCCCATCCCAATTTCTGCCCCCCTGTCTTCCTGGTGACAAATTAATACATAACTAAATAAATAATAAGGATGACAAAGGCGTATATTAAAACTGTCTTGTTAAAGCAAAATCTGTCTGGCACAACATGGTATCCAGCTCTTCATACTATATATACCAGGCTGCGGGGCAGGACAGGTAAAAAACATTAACAAAATGCAAGAATATTTTCTACAGACATAGTTATATATTGTGGAATATACTCCAGAATTCTGGCACAGTACCTGAAAACTTTAAGTCCTGTAATCAGCAATGTACTGGAGAATTGGGGTCACTGTAAAACATCTAAGCTCCTAATTTAAAACACTGTCTTAAAACCACTATGTAGAGAATTTTAAAATGTCTGTTGTCTGGTAGTATCAAAAAGGACACTGTGGAAGGCAGCGATACACGCTGCTACTCCGCTAAATGACTGCTCAGACCCAATGAATGCCCCCATGAAACAAGGTGTTAGTTAGCACTGCTGACTTGAGAGAAAGGTGCACAAATGAACCAGAAAAAAGCTGAAAAAGTCTCTTCATACAAATACGATAAAATTTGGCTGTAACATTTACTTTTAATAGTCACATTGATAATCTTGTAAAAAAAACTCAGCCCAACTCAGGTTTTTATTTTTGTTTGAAGAATGGCTTTCCATTTGCAGTAAGAAAAAATCTTGTCCGGTCCACATTTTTAGCTGTTTAGGTGATGGTGATCACTGTATTTTTATTTGTTTTGTTAACTGGATGGCTGTCACGGAAAATACAGAGGACAATTCATATGAACCTTTTCATCTTCAGATCCAGTCTCGGTAAACGCCCCATCTACGACCCGTTTCAGTAATATGGGTAGATCATTAAGGAGGATCATTATCTGTTCCGAACTACGCGCTAAGCACTCTGGGTTTAGAATCATTTCGATAAATATTAACTTCATTTGCAGAAGTAAATGCCCAAATATTGATGAAGAATGTAAGTGTTCGAAATAGTCCAGCTTCCCTTTCCTGCCTCTCAGGTTCCACCTCACTGTGCTCACAGTGAATGCTGTGAATTAACAAGGCAGATTTATTCACGATTTTACAACACAGGGTTGCATAACAAGTTTAAGTACTAAATTCCCTTTTTGTTACTCACAAAACATATGTAATATATACTGTATATATATAAAAGTTATATATGGTTGAATAGGTCAATAACAACTATTGTACATGGTGCATTTCTGTGGATGAATTTAGGAGCCTGCGGGAAGACGCCGCTCTGGTTAGAAGCAGATGCTTCCATATCTCTTTCCAGATGGCAGCAGGGTGAACAGGCTATACATTTACATTTAGCTGATGCTTTTATCCAAAGTGACTTACAATGGCTATTTATGTCAGAGGTTGCATGCCTCTGGAGCAGCTAGGGGTCTTGCTCAGGGACACATTGGTGTCTCACGGTGGATTCAATTCTCTTTAAATAGGGTAATGACGTTAGTCTCTGACTTTTTTTCTTTGCATCTCAGAGAACACAGATACATGGGAGAGATTCTGAATGTGTAGAAAGTTTTGAACATGAGCAGATAAGTGTTTCCCATACGTTCATTTATTTTTGGCAGCCCACCGCAATATCAATGCTGACGGCAACATTGATTTTCAATTGGTTTTACTAGGCCTATTTAAAATCGTATTTGATTGCAGAGCTGCAGGCAGCGCGTATTCGTGCAGCACATCCTCTTGCTCGTCCCTCTCGCTCTCTCTCCCTGATGAACACCGCTGGCACAAATCAGTCCAACACAAGGCTGTCAATGACGGAAACCCAGCTTAAAAAAGTTAAAAGCAAGCATGTAAGGAGCCTAGCTAATAAGGAGAGCTAATGTTAGAATACAGCTGGGTTTTCGAGGCTAACACACTAGCTGGTATAATATAATAATATCAGTCACCATTAATGATTGCATTTGTATTTTCTGTATTTTGTATTTATTGTACGTATCCAACAGTTTTTATTGTTATGTTTATTAAGTGGTTGTTTTGCGTCCTTTCTTTTGGTTTGTGTACCTACCCAGAGACAACAGATGAAAAGTAGCTAGTAGCCATAGACTGTATAAAACAATGGACAGTGTCTGTGATGTCACCCGTTGGTTTCTGAAGAGCTGTTTTGAAGCTCAAAATTGGCAGAACTGGCCAGTGATATCTCGGCAGCACATCACTCCTGACCAAACCAAAAATAGGCAAAGAGGTGGGTGGAGCTGAGGTGACTGGTTGCTGAACCACGCCCGCCTAGTTTGACGTGACCGAGTTAGCTGAGGATAAGGAGCTAATGCTATATGCTACTCTGTGTTAGCAGAAGTAGCTTTTACCCGGAGTTTGTCTGGTTGGAGTTTGGTAGCCTGTGGCTGCATCGTTACCAGCTTATCGTGGAGGTAAGTTAACCTGAAACTATACAACACCACTTAAAGGGGCATTATGTAGTTTCCAGCGGCCACTAGCGGTGCGGTTTAAGACTGCAACCAGATGTTTGCTCGTACGCGTGCTCGCTTGAACTCATGAGCGAGCATAATCCGAAACACAAGCACTCATACAGAAATACCACAATAAACGCATGAACACCAGCATGCTGTGACTTTTCTTCAGACATGTTAAGGCTCTGTTACTTCAACGTTCCCGTCTCAGAGGCAGTTCAACACCAGCGCTGTACCTTTCATTCAGCGCAGCGAGCCGCATATCGGCTCAATACTCCCGAAAAAAGTGACCGCGGCTACAGACAGGGAGACTGCTTCACACAATATACTGGAAACTCAGGTAAACCCCTACTGCAACATTACAGTAATAGTTTTGTCAACTGCAAGTTGAACTAATCCATGCTCGTTACATGATCACGGTACATTTACTGCATTTAGCATTTACTATCTGTGTAGCAATGTAAGCACAGCTAAATGTATTGTAGTGATGGGAAAAGTCACTCTTTTGAAAGACTCAAGTCACCAAATCTCGTTCATTAAAATGAACTAATCTTTTTTTGTTTTTTGTGCTGTGAAGCTGCAGTGTTGTATATTATGTAGGTCACGTTAGTTACAGAGACTGAGAGGTGGAGAAGCTGTGTACCTGAGTATCGGTAAAAGGCAATAAATCTAAATTGAACGTTGCGAAGCAAACAGCAGCTGGTCTGAGCTAATGTAGCGTTAGCTGGCTGCTCCTGGCTGCATCACTATAGGCGAACGTTAGTAAACAAATTGCTCCACATTTGCTTTTTACCATTCTTGCAGGCTAGATCAACACTTTGACAAAATACCAGTGGTACACAGGAAAGTAACATGGGTTGCGTTAGTTGATGAAGTAACGTGGAAAGATGTAACTTTGCACTGGATAACTTTAGCAACTGCTTGGCGTTAGCCGGCGAGGTAACGTGACTTTCTCTGTTTCTTCAGCTTTACTAATGCTCACTTAGTTCTTACTTGACATCAACTGAACCTGTTTGGTCTGATGGGCTTCAGCACATAAACCTTTATTGTTGTTTTGGATCCTTACGTGGAGCTTGTGTTTTGCTGTGAGCTGGTTGTTTTATGGTGTTAGTGGACTGCATGTCGTTAGCTGCCGTGTTGTCGCTGTAGTCAGAGAGGGGCTCGGGAGCGCGCATAGGTCTGAATCACACCCGGAGACCTCACATTAAAAGCAGAATAGTGGCTGATGTGCTTCATTTCTAAGTGACTTTTGAGCCTAGTGACAAAAAGGCAATGAAAATTTTATTTTATTAAAATCAAAAACTTACATATAGCCCCTTTAAAGTGACTATTTCTCTGTTATGTAGGTTATACTACACAAGGTTTAAAATGCTTCAACGTTTTTTAATAAAAATATATGTGGTAATTTGCCACACTAGATTATGTGGATACATTTATTGTTATGGCTACTGGACATTTGACAGCTGATATTCCATTGTCTGGCAACACAAAAACATACTGTTGACGATTGTTAATGACTGTCATCGATATGTCGAGGTGTTGCTCCCTTGTTCCATTTTCTCCCAAATGTGTGACATAATAGTAGTGTCAACCAAACTGAGGCATCTTTAATAGTTAACTATATATTTTACATTAACTACCTGGATCAGATGTCCCACCTGGTGGCAGACAACTTCAGAGACCTGGAACGCCTCCTTAGTGTGCTGGACGTCTGTATCTGATGGCATGGACTGACGTGGAAAGGCCTTCTCCCCTTCTGTTTACTTTTACATTTAGTTTTAATGTTGTCCTTATGTGTTTTTATGCACAATTAAAAAATATATAAAAATGATAGTTCACATTGGAAAAAATTCTCTAAATATTTGCACTACTTTTGTCTTTATGTTTGTTAGATTTCAAATTCTGTCTGTCAGTTCCCAGGACAAGTTAATCTTACAACACAGATAAAATATCAAACATTAAAGCTGAACTCTTGCTAAGGGACATCAGTCTAGTACAAGTTGAAATGTAAAAATGCTCCCAAATTTTTTCAAGGTTCACATGAAATGTTGAAAAGTATTTATTAAGTGTACTTCTGTGTGTGCAGGAGTATTTTCACGTTCTACCTTATACTTTAAGATAAATAAGGAGTCTTACACTCAGGACCAGAGCCTGACTAGTTTTTGAACAGTGCCTTGTTTGCTGCTCTGATATAAGTCTAGTATAAACACAGAAGAATGTGCACACATCCAAACCAACCTGTAGGTAAGTGATGAAACAAAGAAATGACCTGCACAGAGTAACAATGAATCCAACTATGTGGTGTCATTAATTGTGATGATGCAAACTATGAGGTCTCAGAGCTGATCGAATGCACCTGTGGTAAATAGGTGCATCTCTACAAATGTTAGATAACAATATATTCAATTAACATAAGAAACTGATGAATGAAGAATGTTATTTTATTTTAAGTCAATTTAGTCTGATCAATTTTATATAACAAAAATTATTTCTAATACAAAAGCAAAAGCTGAACACATTAAAATCATATCTTGCATTCATGGAAACATCAATATTAAAAGGTTACAAATGTAAAAGTAGTTTTTTATGACTTGAAGTAATGTACTGTAACAGTAAATATAATGACAGAAGAACCCAGTGATAATTTTAAATCAGTAGAGTCCAGATGTTAAAGTAAAACAAAAGCAAAAGGCTGAGCAAAGCAGTAAGCTGCAGCAGCTGGCAGGGCCACACTGGAAGCTGGGACTTCTGTAGAGCTGGACTCTGGTGCTTCTCATTTGGAATGATGCTGCCATCAGCTCATCTGGCTCCTGTAAACACAACAATGGTAGAAAGTTACTGACAGCCTCTTCCCAACTGCCATAAACCTACTGAACTCTGAGATCGCCTCAGCATGACAACCATCTCTACATGTAACAGTAATTATGGCAATGTGTTTACTGACATGTGCAATATTAATCTTGCTGCTGGACACCACTTGAACAGTCAAGTTGGCTCTTATTGTATATTTATTATTCTGCTCTTATGTTAAATTACTGTTGAACTGGTACTACTAATATACTACATATGTAGTTATGTACTACATATATTTATAGTGAATTGTTATGCACCTTTGGTTGTCACAAAAGTAATCTGCTACACAATAATGAAAAAAGGGCTTGAATCTTGAATGTAAGCAGGGCCTCACAGGTTAAAATTACAGAAGAAGGAGAACCTAGACAAACTCTACATAACTAATATTACTTTACCCAGCTCAGGAACATGTAAGTTACCTGTCTTTACCGACAAGACAACTGCAACCACCACTGCTTCCCCCTCTACCCCATCCCTCAGTCCAGGCGGAGCCACTTATTCTAGTGACACAGTGACTCTGTTACAGTAACTTTAATGTTACTTATCCAAATCTGACAATGCCTGTTTGGCAAGTTTACCGTTAACATTAACGTTACATAACGTCAGCTAACTGACGAGGTGGGCCATTAACATTACTTTACTAACATTGCTCACCTTGTAACAGACGTCTTTTGTTGTTTTCACCCAAATTCAAACACTTCTCTAATACATTTTGACTGCTGTGCACGTTTCTTTATTAACTGCAGTTAGCAGACTCCCGTTATTTTAGCATCGTTACCAAAGCTTGAAGCTGGCTAATTAGCTAGTTGGGTAACGTTAGCTAAGCTATAAGCTAATGTTAAGTACCCATACCCGCTAATTATTGTAACACATAATTAAAATACTACAATTTCACTCACCAACTGGAGCACAGGCTTCTGAGGGTTCTTTTTCTCTCCAATTAACCGCAAAGCCTGCCATTATTCGTCCGGTATCTGCATGAAGAAATATCCAAAAGGTTCCAACAGAGCATAGCTGGTGAGCTCCGTGACTGACTGCAGCCACCTGTCAATCAAAGCGGCCACGCCCTAATAATGCACAATTTAAGGCTTAATATAATTTAAACAGGTGAGTTATAAAACATTTGACCCCCATCACAGGTGTCACAAAGGGCAGAATTAGCTGTATACACTAAAACCATCTTTTGTACCAGGCTGTAAACATGTTTTATTCTGTAAAGTTGGGCTTTTTAACATGGAGGTCAATGGAGACTGACTCCCTTTTGGAGCCAGCCTCAACTGGCCACTCAATGAATTTCACTTTTAGGCATTTCTGGTTCGGCTTCATCCAGGAAACCAGAAGGTTGCCGCTTGCTGCTAGCTAACTCTGGTGCAATTATTTTAATTGTGCGCTGTCCCTGTC